CAACTCCCCCATCGGTCGCAATGTCTGAGAAGCCTTCCGTCACCGACTCAACGTCATCTTCTCCAACCCCGCACTTGGCGTTCACGACGATCTCGAACGTGAAGCTCCATGTGCCGATTCTCCTAAGCTTCTCCGAGCCCAATTACAAAAAGTGGAGCCGGCTCTTCCTCCTTCTCATTCGCAGGTTCTCTCTCGGTGATTTTCTCACCGGAAAATCGTCCCCCTCCAGCGCCGATGACTCGGAATGGTTCCAACTTGACGCCCTCATACAAGGTTGGATCCTCTCCACGGTCAATGATGAAATTTGTGATCTTGTTCTCTCTACAACCAACTCCGCATCCGAGCTTTGGAAAGCCATCTATAACATCTTCCACGACAACAAGCCGGCCCGGGCGATGCAACTTGAGCACCAATTCCACACCACCACGAAGGGTTCTCTCTCCATTGCCGCTTATTGTCAAACCCTCCGGAATCTTCCGAACAACAATTGGTTCTTCAAGTCTTGCGTGGTCTCCCGGATGATCTTCGAGGACAAACGTCGTTCCTTCAATACCAAACACCGCCCCCGACCTTTCTTCAAACCCGTTCGGCCCTCCTCTTAATTGAACAACAACGGGCTGAACTGGGTGTCGGCAGCAACACGGGGGACGGCGGCACGGCGTTATACGCCGGCAGTGGAGGTCCACGGCGGCAGGGCAGCGCTGGTGGCGGGCGGTCAGAATCCAGCAGCGGGGGAGGCTTCGGGCAGCAACAGCAGCATTCCCGGCATCGTGGCGGTTCCTCTCGGGGTCGTGGTCGCGGTCGCAGCTCCGGATCAAATGCACGGAACACCATCGGGCAGCCCTCTGGACAGTTCACCTACCCAAACCCTAACCCGGGCCTTCTAGGCCCGCGGCCAAACCCCTACCCGCACCCCCAACACCCACAAGCCTATTTTTCTACCCCTCACCCGCCCCATAGCTATAACCCCAACCACCCCAGCCCCTACCCGCAAGCCCCCTCCCCCTCCTACCCGACACCCCCACCCTCACCCACCAGTCACCTCTCCGGTGTCCCCACCCCAACTGCCCTAGCTC